TTTTTTTGGGGGGGGGGTGCTACTCTGAAAGCCCTCGCAGACGCACAGTGATGCTCAGTTTGTAACAGTTTGTTAGTGAGCGTTTTAGTGTGGGAATTTCCTCTTCTAGCCGATGTTTCTATAAATTATACGATATGTACGTGTATAAGTGTCACGTATCGTAAAAAATTTGCGGATATTGGGCTGAATAATCAAAGTCATTGCATGTTGACCATATCGTGTGCACTTGGGCTCCCTTACTTATTGTCTTTTATGTTTATTTTAAAATGTTTTATGGTGACTAATCCAGTGTGATCTGTGACCCGGTCCTATTTATTTATTTATTTATTTATTTTAATTGTGTATTTGTTGGGGGTATTTATTTTAACACCGTTGCTGTCTGTCCTAATATTCAGAAAACCCAACTCGTTCCAATGTGGCAAGGTGAAAACCGAATGGAACTTCAAAAGAGAACTGAGTGGACATTTGAGGTTTTGACTAGGGGAACTAGTGTGATGGAAACCTGGAAGCAAAATTCGTCTACGAAAAGTTTTTCTCCAAGAAATTTGTTTTGTTCAAACTACTGCACCAGAATGGTTTTGTTCGTCTGAGAGATAAGAAAGTGATATATATATATATAATAACTTCGTTTACGACGGCTGTGGTGTAGCGGTTAGACGCTTTTGTTATCATGGCACACCCTAGTTCAATTCCCGAGTGCGGAAAATTCTTAACGACGATCATCTTCGTCTTTCTGCTGGGATGTATGTTGCATCCCTCTCAGCCCAGGTTAGCCCCGACAGGCAGGGTCGGAAGCCCGCGTCCTAAATGATCTAAATTGTGTCGATAGGGTCGCAAAAAACATGTACAATATGAAAACGTATCTTTATTACTGAGTACGATTACAGACGTAGGAGAGAATTTCTCCGGAATTCCCCTCTGCCTCCAGCGGAAATCTTTGTAGAACTGGCTTCCTGTCATGTAGGGAACCCAATTTGTCCATCCAACGATTTCAGGCGCAGAATATAATAATACAATGTACTATCGTTTCGGGTGCCGACTTTTCTTCTGCTCTGTTTGTGTATGCGTGCATCTCTCTCTCTCTCTCTCTCT